CTGCCAGTAAGCCAGCAAGAGAAAACACAACTCAACTCTTTGTTACCGCCTCTCTTCCTCCCTTCATGCTGACTCCTCTTCTTTGTGTCGCTATCTGTTTCTCTTCATTTGCTTTTCTGCTCTCTTCCTACTCCCTCAGCCTAAATGACAGTTCCATAAAAACCAAACAGAAAGATGATGCCTTCAGGCAGAGAGAGCCTTGGAAAAATACAGAAGAAAAAAAAAAAATTCAAATAGGCAAGAGACGAAGAGACAGACGGACATTACAAATAAGATACTTGAACAAAACCAGAACTCCACTCCTAGTTGGGCATCCCTGCCTATTGGCTATTGTGGCAGCCAATTGGAGTCCAGGGGAGGAGCACTTCCTGTGAGGTTGTTGGGGGGGGGGGCTTCCCATGTCGTCAGGTTTGTGTGTTTGTGTGTGTATGTTTATGTGCAGTTAGCAGTGTAAAAGTTAGAAGTGTATATTTTTGTGTGCACTGGTTGTGTACCTGTTCATGTGGAACAACATATTCTTGTATGTACTTCATACATGTACACAACAAGTATGTGTTTATGTGTGTACTGTAGATCTGGTGTGTCTGGGTGAGGGCATGTGTACATTTTGTGATGTGGTCCTGTGCCCTGGGCTGTGGATCAGTGAATTTCAGGAATGGGGTTTTACAAGTACTCTGGATTTCTAGGAACAGTCTGTTATATAAATACCATACATCCTCAAAAACCAAAAAAAGAGAACTTCTGTGTACAGAAGTACAGTTTACTTACTCAGCTCAAGAATATGTTGGGAGTTATGTATATTTATATATACTATTATTATTAATATTTGCTATAGTTATCCTTAGATGCAGGACATTGTTACTGTGTTTTTAGCCAAGTTAGGGGCTTGGCGCTAAGGATGGTAATATCGGTCTGTCAGTCGGTCCACCACTTAGGTCCAGACTGAAATATCTAAACAACTTTTGGGTGGATTTACATTAAACTTTGTACAGACGTTCATGCTCCTCAAAGGATGTACTCTAAAGACTTTGGTGACCACCTGATTTTTCTCTTAGAGCCACAATAAGGTTGACTTTTTTGTTTGTGTCTCAACAAGCATTAGATGGATTTACATGAAACTTTGCACAGATGTTCATGGTGTCCAGACAGCGACTCTCACATGATGTCACTTCCCCTTCCAGAACACACTGGACTGAGTGGCAAAGCATCTGTTACCGTGGCTGCGTTTAGCAAACCGGGAGTGAAACAAGTGATTATTTGCTCAAATTAAAGGCAGTCGGACTCGACAGTGATCCTAACTGCTTACCAAAGAGCCAGTGCTCCAGCTCTTTCCCATTTTAGATGTGTTTTTTGTGTTTTAGCTGATTAAAGCTAACGCTGCTGCTTGTCTTTCTGCCACTCAGTGAGCGTAACTGTGTTCTGTGACATCACCTACCAATCTCACAATTATTCTTTGTGTAGCAGCTTCTTTTCCCCAGTTCATCTTTTATTGTATGTGGATGTGACTGACTTGTGTGGGAACAGTATTTTTAATCGTTCAGAAATTAGTAGTAGTAGTTGTATAGACTGCTGCTAAGTGTACGGAGACCGTATAACTGGAAAATATCCAGTAAAACCAGGATATCGAGACACTAATTTGGTGTTAGCTATGTGTTTGACCCTTAAGAATGAGGAAAGAGCCCCCCCCCGAGCCTAGCTGGTTGTAATCCACAGCTTCTAAGGGTAATTGTGTGTAACCCCGCTGACCTCCTGCAACCACCATCTCCAGACTACTGCTGTAAAAAAGGATCTATCCCTCCACTATATGAAACAAAGGGTGAAACACTAATTTATGCACATATTATAATAAATCAAGTTAAGTGCAGATTAAGTGTGATAAAAGCACAATTGGTACATTCAGAGCGGTAATACACTAAGTGAACACACATGGCGTGTAAAACTCTATGTAGGCCATTCCAATGTTTTGATTGTGGTGTGTGTGTGTGTGTGTGTGTGTGTGTGTGTGTGTGTGTGTGTGTGTGTGTGTGTGTGTGAAGTATGTGTGTGTATTTTGGTGGGCTGCCCAAGGCTGATGTTGATAAAGTGTGACCACATGAGTCCCAAGTGGAGAAAAGATGGAAACATGCCAGTATTCTTCTCTCTCTCTCTCTCTCTCTCTCCCAGTTTCTCTGTATCTATATTACTTCCTCACACCCCTCCGTCTTTCTCTCCTTTTCCTTGCCTGTTCTCTTTCACACACACTCCAAAAAACATACATAAGGTCATGGTACATGTGCTCATGGTGTTTTGACAGTCTTACAGTTCTAGGAATTGCTTCATACTTTCTTGAATATTAACTCAGTCTGGATCAAGCTGTCCTGTAACACAGACTGTATGGGGAATAAATCAATTTTGGGAAATAAATCAATTTTCGGCGCAAAAATATATCATGTGTACTAATTTGATGAGGTTCACAGCAATAGCACATGTCCACAGAAAGATCCTTAATAAGATTTAAAATTAAACCCCAGGATTAGTAAACATTTGGATAAACTGAGCGGTGCAGCGGTAAAAATACCCCCCCAAAAAGCATTCTTTTCGTCTTATGTAGAAGGCCAGCCTGTTTTGGTTTGGGTTTGTGGCCCTCGAAGAGTCCAAAACCCACATCTGAAAATGTCAGCATCAACATCTTGTTCCAGAAATCATGGCACAGTTATGATAAGCCGTAGACCTCAAATGAACACTCAATGAAAATTATTTGTTACCAAAGTATACCTGCCAAATTGCTGTCTCCACGCAGAAGGAAGTCTGCCAGTACTCACGGGCAAGAGGGAAGTGGATGTAAGTAGTTTTGTGGAGCTATTGGTTATAGCCATCGGTTAGCTACAGTACATACAAGTTTGCAAGAGCAAGCATTGTAGGAGTATGAGGCAGAAACAAAGACACATGGTCTCAGCCCACTAGAACACTGAGTATCCTTGTTTGCTCACGCAACCACTGAAAACATGTTAAGTACGGAAGCCCTAAGCGGCCATCGATTCATATCTTTATTTTACTCCGTTTTCCCATGATAACGTGATCATTTTCTCGTGATCTCGAGATAACAAAACAGTAGTTTAACATAGGGGTTGGCAAGAACGTTTCTTAATGGTAATTTCATGGTGCGATTAGGGTTACTGAATAGCTCAGTTGCTAAGGTACATGGTTCAAAGCCTTAAGATTGTGTGTTTAATCCTCATGGAAGACTAATTTTAAAAAAAAAATCTTTCATGTTATTAAATATTTCATATTCCAAGTTGTTATGAAGATGACTGATTCACATGCTCACAATTAATTATGTGCTGGAGTAGACTTTTCATTTCCCCATCATTCCCAGGCAGAGGAAATTCATCCGCTTCTCATTCAGGGGAATCCATTTAACTACACATTTCCTGACGGCTATTTCAGAACCTTTGAAATAGCCGTTGGTAAATGTGTGATTGGATTCCCCTGAATCTCTTGATAACAACTTTGTTGAAGACAATGATTAAAAAACACACAAAAAAAGAAAAAACAAACCTTTACAGAAAGCAAGGCTCAAACCTGAAATCCTTAGGGTGCAAGTCCTGTATTCTACCAACGGAGCTATCTGCTGGCTAAGTAAATTGGCATGAAATTATCATAAAGAAACACACCTTTCTATGCATGGTGGCTTTAAAGAGTAATGAAGGTCCACCAAAATGTTGACATACTGTACAGTACATCATGGCACAGTGTTTGTGCCTTGGCCATTACCATGTTAACATTATATCTACCAACGGTACTGGCCATGGTACCACTCATCAATTTCACAAAAACTATGCTCACATTTTTGAGTTTTGGCTGATCTGACACAAAATCCTGGTTGAGGCTATTTTGCTGTACAATATGATGCTCTTCATAATTATAGAATTCAGTAACGGCCTTTGTTTGTCTCTCTAGAAATAGTGAAGAGCATTACTCATTCACAAACAGGTTTAGGCTTCTTAAAGAGCATTAATTTCATAATTTAATTAATACATTTCAAACAACCCAAACCTGTATTTGGCAATGTTTTTTATGAGACTATTTGTTTCATGTCATTTAGTTGCTCACATTATTTCCATTGTAGTGTGGAGCAACAGTGAAGGAGAACTGCACCAAGACACCAGCATGGGACTTAACACAGTACCATATAAAAAACAGAGGCAGCACACTAGAGAAGCTGCAGGGTTTAACAATTACTGTACATGTACAGTGTCAACGGTTTGTTTATTCTGGAGCAGTAAAGCACATTACAGCAGAGTGAGGTCATAACGGACAATGTGTCCCTAGAGTGGGCAGAATTGACTTTATATATGTGATGTATGTCTTCCTTAAACACATCTCTGTTTCTGTGCAATCTAAAGAACAGACAGCACTGATTCAAACTACACTGACACAGCCAGTCTGTTTGTGGACAGAACACTTTAATCTATATTGCAGTGTTATGTAATGCAACACACACACACACACACACACACACACACACTTACTTACTTTACTCTAACATACAACACATGTACATGCATACACACAGTTGATTTCTGAAGCCTCTAATGTGCAACCAAGTGCAACTATTCACCACTCAAAAAACAATTACTCCCAACCATCGGAAAATGAGCTGCAATCAGAGCTCTCATGGTAAATGAAGCATAAGAAAAATTAAAACATTTTCCAGCTTTAAACTGCCAAAATAAAAGAAACGCTTATCTCATCCCTACACAAATACAGGAAAATGGCTCCTGAAACTGTGTGATGACAAATATAATTCCAATGTTCTATGTAGGGTCCAATTAATAAGCAATGACAACAGTTTACTTATCTTTTGATAATGAAAATCAATATCTTGTTGACCTGGACGGTGAATCTGTCATTAATACATTTTTCTGGCTCGGATTTGGTCACAAGAATTGATAAATAAAACACACACTTCATCTGATGCGTTTTTCTTGATGTCTGAAATCTGTACCTTTCTCTTTCAGGGAGGTTCAGCCTCTAATTTGAACATGAACCTGTATGCCACCAAAAAGACAGCAGCTGAGGGCATGTTGGACATCGCTCTGTTCCTGGCTAACATCACACACATGAAGACTGTAATCGAACAGGGAGCTGGATACAGGTACAGTATGTGTGTGAGGGAAAGACAGATCACTTTCTTTTAGTGTTTTAAATAAGAAATGTTTACACGGTTTCCAAAGTTCCACTGTCAATTCAGTTAAAACTAGTGTTTTGCCAAGGAGAAAATATAACTGAATGAACAAACATTCTGCCTATATATTCATTGAAATTATAGAAGAGTTTTATTAGGTTTCAAGGTCTTGAATTTTCAAATTTACTGTTGCTTCAAACTGTATTTTTTGATAACTACATATTGCATATTTTTTTTTTCTCTCTCCTCCTCAGGTATTACATTGCTGTCCTGACACTCATCTCCTTCTCCTTGGCCCTCCAGATAGTGGCTGGAGTCCTGATCATCATCATTGGTAAGCCAATCACATTAAAGCATTAGTCTGCTTCAAGACCACCTCCAGAAATCCATCCTCCATGTTTTTAACCAATCATATTAACATACTAATAAACTGACACATTTATTTGAACACACAGGCAGTGTAGGTTGAAGTCCACTCACTTTCTTGTCTATTTTGGCAGATAATATGTTCCGTGTTAAACGTCGAACCAAACAAATATCTTCTATAAAAAACAACTATGAATATAAAAGGATGATGAGAGCAGTTTTGCAGTTTTTGTTTTGTTGTTATTTTTGGTATTTGTGTGTGTGTGTACGTGTGTGTTTGTTGCAGCGCGGCGAGACGTCACCGAAGAGACCAACCAGAAGCGCCTGGACAGCCTGAACAACACCACAACCGTCATCATCTTCCTCATTTTCATCACCAACATCTTCATCTCCGTCTTTGGGATGGAGCGCACGGGCCTCTTTGCCAGGATGCATTTCTGAATTTCTGACGTAGGGAATTATTTTTATGCAGATGTTTTTTATTTTTTTGAGAAGCAGGGAAAGATTATGACACATTCAACATAGGGCACACGCACACATTTACATGTAGCCTACTCATTTAGCTGTCGCTTTATCCAAAGCGGCTTACAATTGCTATATACATATATATATATGTATATATATATATGTATGCAACCCCCACCCGCACATGCACACACACACACACACACACACAGGAACACATACTCATTGTTCTACTTATAGTACTAATCACTATCACTATTACTGTACTCTGATGTCTTTATTTGATTTTATTCAGTGTGAATGGACTGGGCCAAAGGACCAACTAGTGTGTGTGTGTGTGTGTGTGTGTGTGTGTGTGTGTGCTTGTGTTCAAATTGCCTGTGCATGTAATGTATGTTCTTTGTGTGTGTGTGTGTGTGTGTGTGTGTGTGTATACAGCTCGTCTTGAGCTAACCCTCCTACCCTCATATCGGCGGTTGTTGAACTTCCTTAACAATTTGACCACCGGCATCATCTTCCTCACCCTCATCGTCAACATCATCAAAGCCGCCTTCGGCACACAACGCAGCTGCTTCCTGCGATGGCTGCTTCAGCGTTTCATTCTATGATACACATTTGGGACATTTGCACGATATACGTACGTTCATCCACAAAAACTAACATAAAAGCGCATATTCAAAGTTGCTTTGTGTAGAATTTATGTGTCTAAATTGATAAAAACTTGCATACTTCCACACTATTCATGATACTACCACCAGATGGCGCCACAGTAGAGATGTAATCCTACTAATCCAGCTTAATTTTTTATCCATTCTGTTGCTGAACAAAATGCAGTTTATAACTGTAGTGTGACACACCTTTACACTCATGAACATACACACATTCAGATTGGGAGTTCGCTCCAGCATTTAGCCTCAAAGCAAAATGTAGAAGGAAACTTTCAGTGTTACGTCTGTGTGGTAAACATGAATATACTGCCAGCAGCCAGTTTGCTTAGCTTTGCTTTGCTTAGTTTAGCTTAGCGCAAAGACTAGCAAAAGGGGAAAGCAGAGAGCCTGACTATGCCCAAATGTAACAAAATGTGCCTACCTGCACTTCTAAAGCTCACTTTTTTAGTTACCAGCTGCTAGCTCCAACTTCATTTTTACAGTATGAGAGAGGTTATCATTCTTCTCATCTAACTCTTGGCAAAAAAGTATATATTTCCAAAATTGTTGAACTATTCCTTTAGGATGCTGAACATCTATTGGCTGCTGTCTGTCAGTTTCAGGAAAACTCTAGTTGTATTTAATTGAATGAAAAATATAACTGTCTCAGTAGCCAATGTAATCCTTAGGCCTACAACATTTGTTTTTCTCAGATTTAAACATTTCTTCACCTGCTCTACCTAGGGAACATAATAGCTAGAGATCAAAGCTCAGTGAGTTAAGACCCGTAAAAAGACATCAAGAAAACTGTGTTTGCCTTGATTGATCGGTGCCTCAGCCTATCACTCGCACCATTTGCTTGTCTGCCTCAGCTCCACAACATCTTCTCAAAGTGCTACTGAGCAGCTTAATCTAACAGGAGCCGCTGGGGGTTCTTCCCTCGAGGGCAGCATTAAACTGTATTTGTTGAGTGAGGGGATTACATCTTTCATGTCGAATTTATTTAATACAAATAAAACAGCAGCTGTGTTATAAGTCTGGTCAAAATGTCACATAAACTAGACAGAAGCTTGAGGGTGACTGACTGCTGTTTGTATGGGTGCGTTTCTGTATGTTTGTTTTAATGGGATCATTGTGAGTAGGCCTATGTGTACGTGTGAGTATGCATGCATCACCTGTATGTGTCGGTGTGGATGGAAGTGTTTGAAACATTTGAAATTGTGTGTTTGTGTGTCTGTCCGTGTGTGTTTGTATGCCTGTGTGTTGTAGCCCGCAGGGACCTGAACGTGGTGTCCAATCAGAAGCGACTCGACTACCTGAACAACCTTGCTACAGGCGTCATCTTCATCACCACGGTGATTAACTTCTTCGTCAGCTTCTTTGGATCCAAGAGGACTGGCTTCTTCCGCTGGCTGCTGGCTCGACTCCACTACTGACACACACACAAACAAAACCCCATACGCACTGACATATCAAACACATTTACACACCGCAACATGCATGCAACTCACACACCATTTGCATCATTTCCATTTGTACACACTTGTTGATTCAAACAATTATGTATTATTCACGCTTTGAAAAGCTGTAATCCAACTAAAATATTTTCATATTAACCAACTGAATATCTGTGTAAACATGCATTCTTTTACTTGCTGCAATAATGTGGTTGTGCAAAAATTGTGCATATGTTCCATTATACGAATTTCAAACAGTTTTACACTTTACATGTGTTTCCCTGGATTTTTTATAGAATTTATTTTTAATATCTTGTTTGACATAGTAAATTACGTTACGGTTCAATACCAGACAAAAAAACAGGGTAATATTTAATATGTACTTTCACAAGCTGAATAAATGTAGTGATTTAACAGAAGCCTGTGCTTTGCTTATTGTGTTTTTTGCTGAAGAGTGACATGCAAAGTAACAAAGTGGACATGAAGTGGGCCTAATGATAATGTGTGTGTGTGTGCAAGGGTGTCCGTACGGCTGACGATGTCAGTGTTTGAAGGAGCGAAGTAAAGTTGCCTTTGCCCTTTATTTTGTGTATTTATTTTAAAGGAATCGAAATGTAATGCATCTTGACCAAACCAGAAGTCTCAGTGTGTGAGAAGCAAGCGTAGTTTGAACACTCACTTCTTTACTATGTATGTGTGTGTCTTGTGTGTGTGTGTGTGTGTGTGTGTGTGTGTGTGTGTGTGTGTGTCACAGGGCGTCGGGACCTGAATAACACCGCCCTGCAGAAACGTCTGGATTACCTGAACAACGTAACAACCATTATAGTCTTCATCACCACAGCCCTCAACTTCTTCATCAGTACCTTCGGCATGCAGCGCACTGGACACTTCCCATGGCTTATGATGCGAATTCACTGACAAACACAAACACACACACACAAACACACACTTCCGCTGAATATTAAACTGCACACCCACACAGGCACACTCATCATAGCTTAGCAACGTACATTCAGTGGACTTTTTTATTTAACATTTAATGTCTATCTTAGCTATGCACACATTTGTATTTGACAGAGCTGTTACATGTTAATATCTTATTTTATGATTACATAAATACTGCATTATCAACCTAACTTTTTAAAACTATGTCAAGTACACATATGGTAAAACGTCATTTAAATGGGACATCTACAACCACACTGTATAATCCTCCTTCTCCACACTTTTATTAGGTAATGGTGACATCTAGTGTCTGAGAGAAGTCAGGATCATAAAAGCATCCCTGGACTAATGTCAGCCTCACTACAACAAACAAAATCAACAAATAAAACACATGGTTAAAAAAAAGAAAAAAAGAGCATGAATTATTATTATTATATGATTCTGAATATTGTTGGTACTTTATTATGTCATGCAAGAAAGTTGCCTGGACCATCACAGCAGGTCAGAGGTCAAGCTTTAGACCAATCTGCATGCCCTACTTTATTGTTTTTAGATTAGTTTTAATAGTGTGCTCATGATGACTGCATATTGGCCAACTTTACAGCAAGTGAAGAAAAATTTGGGTCAGGACATATTCAGCTGGAGCTTCCTCAAACTGGTCAGCCATGGCTGTTTTGAGCGGAAGTAAAGTCAAAGAGAAAGGGTCAGCTTTCTCTAGTTGTTTCATACTATAGTTAGGGAGCCTAGCTGCAATGTTCTAAATTTCAAGTATGATACGTTATAACGTGCTGTTAAGGTTTATAGTGTAAGGGAATGCGGCAGGATGGAAAGCAAACCGAACTTTCCGAAGTATGTAACCGAACTACTGCGGTATTTCATATTTCAAAATGTGAACGCCCAACGTGGGGCTCGAACCCACGACCCTGAGATTAAGAGTCTCATGCTCTACCGACTGAGCTAGCCGGGCTAGAGAACGCACGCAGTTGGGTTCATTCTGTTCGGATCAACGGAAATGGCTTAATAAAGAAGATTATGGTAGATTATTACGCCTGCAATATTAACAGTCCTCTTCTAATGAACTATTGTAGTCTACGTGCTGCGTGTAGCTATGACCTTGTAGCCTATTGATGCTGGCTAACAGAACTACACCCTACATCAACCAAAGATGGTTCTGGTGAGAGTCGACATAGCCTACTTATTCCGTCTGTGTCCGGTTTCCATCTATCATGATTCCCACACATCTAAACAAATCGCTATTTTTAACAGTAATATTCTCATTAAAATCACAGACTTTTATCATGACTCTTAATACATAATGTTCTCAATTCTGCAACGCGTTTCTATGTTTATTGATTCAGCCTATCAGCTACATGTAAGTTAGGCCTACATATTCACTTTATTTGGTGCAGTCCTCCAAATAAAGTGAATTGGCTAAAACATTTGTAATAATCTGCAAACAAACTTTATGACTCTTATGATTAAAAATGAACACGTGCATGAGTATGCCCTGTCTTCAAAGAGGCACCTTCTCCATTTAGACATTTTTTAAGTGTTAAATTGCAGAATTAGCTCACATTACATTTATTCATTTAGCTGTCGCTTTCATCCAAAGCGACTTACAATTGCTAAATAGGCTATGTCAGACATAACGTTAGGCTATGTCGGAGAAGCAACTAGGGGTGAAGAGTCTTGCTCAGGGACACATTGGTGGATGGGTCACAGTGGGGAACCAAAGGTATGTGGCTTATTCATTTCGCCATCACCACCCCATTAAATAGAATGCCATTAAAGAGATTCATGATAATGTAACGTTAGCGTCCCTCAAATAAGAAGCTACGAGATGATAGCTGGTTTGCTCCTTCTTTATTACTGAACAAAATACAGGCTACTATGGGCCGTAGCCAACAACCAAAAACAACTGCCGTGACTACCCTCAACCATCGACTGTATATAAAAAAAACTCACCTCTCTTTTTTCACACACACCCTCCCTTCGGCCTAGCAGGAACAATAACAACCATCCCTCTAAACTCTCTGCCAATCACAGGTACGAACACAGTTGATTGACAGGCTTCTAAACATATCGCACATTCACTGACAGGAAAAAGACATTCACTGACATCCTGGAACATTGGAAAACATACTGCTTATGGTAAACAGCCCTTTCTGCCGGGTGACTAGAACAATCTTACTAGGGACATTCTGACTCCACAATAAACACCAACTAGTCATCCAGTCCGTTACAATAATGTTTTATTATGACAACTGGCAAACCATAAAATAAAATAAATAAAATAAAATCTAACAACAATAAAGAAGGCAAGTATACATGTATAAAATATATATAGTTCGCAGTTTTGTACACAGTGAAAAGAAGAAAAAAAAAGTCTGAGGGTAATGCTAATGCTGTTGTCAGATTTAATAACTTTTTTTCCAGTGAGCGGAGGGAAAGAGGAAGGGAGGGATCATGTGTCATTCCCAGGAAATGAAACTACACGTCTAAAGGTACATTTAAGGGCTCTAATTCTTTTTTTGTGTCCAAGTGGAAAATATCCCAGTAGCTAAACGCTCACTATAGGTACTACCACAATGCTAAACTACCTGGGCTGTGTTTGAAAGTGGCAGGATCTGCAGTGTGTTCTGTATTTAGTCTAGTAGAGTAATTACTAAATTCACAATTTTATTGCTAATTGCTAATAATAATTGCTTTATTTTATTGCTGTTGAGCTCAAATGTTGTCTTCTTTAGGTGTCAGAGGGGAAATAATCATTGGCTCATTGCCAGCATTACAATTCCCAAAGCTTTTGTTTTACTGACCATACTGTGAGTGTTAGTATGACTGTAACCATAAGATAATTCATACACTTTGAACTTCTAAGAGAAAGAATCCAGCCTGAGAAACTCACATCCCATAGATCATCATACTGAAGGTCTGCACCATCTTGAAGGGCCAGTTAAATCTAAATGACTACATCCACTTCAGTTGGTGATTTGCCTCAGGAAATTCACCCTGTGTTACTGTGTTCAGTGACTAATGATGCACTGCCTTTGACTCTGTTTGTCAGTGTACACTGCTGTGACCACAAGAATGGTGTTTAATTTCCTCTCCTGTACTTTTAGACATGGCCTCAGACAGTAGCCTCCCACGTGAAGAGCAGCTCCTGTGTTCAATTTGTTTGGATGTGTTCGCTGAGCCTGTCTCGACTCCGTGTGGACACAACTACTGCAAGACATGTATCACAGGGTACTGGGACAGCAGTGACCTGACACAGTGTCCCCTCTGTAAGAAGAAGTTCCGCAACAGACTACAGCTCCAAGTCAACACAGGGTTCAGAGATATGGTGGAGCATTTCAACAACATGAGTGTGAGGGGTGATGATGACATCCTTTGCAAACCAGGGGAGGTGCCCTGTGACGTCTGCCTTGGGCCGAAGCTCAAGGCCCAGAAGACGTGTCTGGTGTGTTTGGCTTCATACTGCCAGCCTCACCTGTAGCCCCATCAGAGGTCACAAACCTCAAGAAGCACCAGCTGACGGACCCCGTGTCAAACCTGGAGGAGAGGGTGTGTAAGAAGCACGACAAGATGTTTGAGCTCTTCTGTCACGTGGATCAGATGTGTATTTGCTTCATGTGCTTGAAAGACGACCATGCAACGCATGAGGCCGTCCTGTTGGAGCATGTGTTCGGAGAGAGGAAAGCCCAGCTGGGCGATGTGATGTCAGAGATAAAAATGATGGAAAACGCTAAAAAAAGGAATATTAAGGAAATCAAATACTTAGCTGAATAGAGCAAGAAAGAGTCAGAGAACGAGGTAGCAGACATTGCTGAGGTTTTCACTGCTCTGGTGGTCTCTCTGCAAAGAAGCCAAGCTGAGCTGATTGAGTTCATGCAGGAGAAGCAGAAAGATGCACTGAAGCAGGCCAAAGACCACGTGACACAGCTGGAGCAAGAAGTCGCTGAATTGAGGAGGAGAAAATCCGAAATGGAGCAACTTCTACAAACAGAGGACCACCTCCGCCTGCTGCACAGCTGGCCATCTCTCTACATCCCTGTACACACAGAGGACCTATTCAACCCTCTGTCCCACTCCACCCCTGCATTTACCCTAGACCTCTCTGACATCAGAAGACAGAGTTATGTGGTGAAAAAAGCAGTGGCTCAGATGGAAAATACACTCACTAATGAGATAGAGACGCTTATTCACGAGGTCAGGTTTTCTGATGGCTGTGAGGCCGCTAGACAGCCGGCGGCAGCTGAAAAATGGATGACGGATGAGTTTATTAAAGAAGTGTGGGATCCGCCTCAGGACAAGCTGATGATGATCCAGCAGTGCGGTGTCTGAGGATGGGAAACAACTGAGAGTTAGTGATGGCAGGCTTTTTTTTCCTGCTTTATTCGGGAGAAGATTTGAATATCAACGCTTCGTCCTTGGGAAAGAAGGTTTTTCTTCAGGCAGGTTCTTCTATGAGGTTCGGGTCAGTGGGAGTGAAGCCTGGCTCTTGGGAGTGGTCAAAGAGTCCACTAACTGGGAGAAGTTTTTGTTTCCCTCCCCTGAGGACAGAGCCTGGACATTTAGTGGAATCACTACCCAATTCCAAGACCAACATTTTGGTAATAATATTGTTGACTCTGCTACCGTGTACCTGAGGCAAAGGCCCCAAACAGTTGGTGTTTTTGTTGATGATGAGAAGGGAGAGGTCTCCTTCAATGATGTGGACGCCAGGACTCTCCCACAGTGGATGTACCTTCATTGAGACAACGCCAGCACTAAAAGCCTTTCTCTATTCTATGGCTGGCACTTCCTTAAGTAGCAGACCAAAGCTCCACCCTGTTTTTGGTATCTATGGAGATGATTCTGACAACATGCTTGAAATTACTCATATGGTCTGCACAACATAAGGTGCAGTATATATCAAGGAAAATCCATGTGTAGCTTCTACCAAAAAGCGCATTTCAGATTTCTTATTGTATGTTTGTTAGTATTGGGGCACACATTATTGGAATATATTACAGTATATTACTTGCAGCAGAGACCTATCAAGAAATCTAGACTGTAGTAATCGTTGTAGTAGTATCACACTTTACAAAAATACAATAAAATTCAGTGTAATATATATATTCTTATATTTAATTCCTAGCTTTCTGTCTTTTTGTTTTTTTTTACCATATTGCAAGAAGTCAAAGAACAAAGCAGGGAAGATCACTTACTTGAAGGTTGGTGATGGTCATCTTTCAGTCATTCATTATTGCCACATCTATGTTGCAATTCCTGTGTCTGACCAGGAGATGGCTTCATTGTTTAACCGGCATTCTAGTCTGTTTCTCAGGGATGATTTAAGGAAACAACAGAGTGGAAAATGGGATCATAGGAGCCTAATTTCATCCTTGTCACTTTCAAAAATGTGATTAGTCCTTACCAAAAATGAATCTTCAATAATTTTGATAAATTAATCGTTAAAGTAATTTTTTTCTCTGGTTCTTGCGTCTCAAATGTGAATATTTGCTTGTTTCCTCAGGCTTATATGATAGTGAACTAAATATATTAGTGTTGGTCGGACAAAACAAGCAACTTCAATGTATTCATTTGGGCTCTCTGAACTTGTGATGGACAAGCTTTTCTGTGATTTTATATACCAAATAATTAATCAGCAGATTCATCTATAATGAAAATAACCAAAAGTCACAGCATTAATAATTTTATCAGCGAGCTTAAGCTTACACTTACATACTGTAGTCTCTGGGGGCACCAAATTTGCAGTTAATTTACTTGTTGCATTAATGAACATTACTTATTTTATTTTAGTATTCAATTATGAACACATAATATGTGGCATTTTATGTCTTGATCACTTTGTGTTGACTCCAGGGTCCACATTCCATTCATTGCACTTTTAAATACAAGCTTTTTGGAAGGCCAAAGACATCCATCTGGCATACTTACATGTCTGACAAATGTATGTAATATGCAACTGATATGTATTATACTTAATAAAAGAATTTCTGGAAAAATTGCTTCATGTGCAATGTGTTTTATTATGATTAGAAAAGTGGGGCTTTTAGTCTTTTTTTTTTAAATGATAAAATACATAAATCCACCAATAACAGTTTTCGCTGATCAGCTTAGCAGAGACATTTCAGAAGGGAGCGCTGGTCCACGTCTCTGGGAGTGTTTCTCTCAAGGGGAACTTTACCCAGCAGACTATTTATACTTCAGCTGACTGACTGACTGGCGCCCTGGGAACTGGACACTGTGTGTGTGTGTGTTTGATCATTGTCTAGTTGGAAAGATTTCTTTAGGATGATGTATAATTGTGTTTGAGAGACAGGCAGAGAAAAAGAGACCTGAGAGGCCACGGTGACCAGCTATGAAACATGCCACATACTCTAGTCAGATACTGTATGTAGGTCAACATACCACAGGTCAAATGCATGGATGCAGAAAGAATGAATAAGCATCACACTAAAAAGAGAGGACTTTTTCTTTAAAAGAGAGGAAGTTAAATTAACATGTATAAATGTTACATTGCACACTACAAATTTAACTCAAAGTACAGATATGTCATTAAAAATGAGTCCTACACCTGAGGGGTATTTATTCAACCATATAAATCCTACAGCTTCTACCTATGCACACAACTCACATAACTGATCTAGGACCCCCAATTTGAATCTAACCTCGGTCATCATCTCTTCTAGTGGCCATTGTAAAGCCAAATTAACAGAATAACAACACTGTCATCAATAAAGATCTGAAGGTTACTTTGTGGATCAGGAATATTAGATGACAACAGATTGACAGTCCTTTCACAGAGAGAAGAAAATCATATCCAACAGACCTGCTGACAACTTTGGATAACTGTGACTGAGAGGATGAAATTTAGCAAGGTTGAAAGTGAAAGTTAATGGTGGTTGGTATAAGTCTGGCGTACAACTCACAGCTTTATAGCACCAGTTCATTATAAAAGATATCTCATTGCACTTTTCATATAGCGCAGGCCTAGACTGTAGGCTAACCCTTGTAATATTATGAAGCCCCAACAGTTCCCACCATGAGCAAGCATAGGTGAGAACAAACTCCCTTTCAGCAGGTATAGAAACCTTGAACAGAATTGTGACTCAGGGTGGGCGGCCATCTGCTTTCACTGGTTGGGGGGGGGGGAGCCAACACTATATCCAATATAAAAACATTAAAAGTGATAGTGTTACAGACAGAACATGAATAGCAGTACTAGTAATGATAGCAACATTAATGATAATAATAGTAATAGGACTAATAATAATATTTGTAGCAACGGGTGTCAAGCAGGAATATAAGGGCTGCAGTCGGCCCGCAACCACAGATGCAGACCCCACAGCCCAAAGCCATGTCTTCTTTGGCATGCTTTGTCCTATTTTTAACACTTAAATATTTATTTACTTATTACTTGACATGACTACAGAGTTTTTACTATAGATGTTTGGTATGACTTAGGCTAGACCAGGTTATGTGACTGAGGAAATCAACATGCACCATCCTAACATAAAGTATCCATTCAAAAGCGGGTCTCTTTTACTCTCTCTCCTGTAGAAGAGCACAACAGCAGATGGAGGGAAAAGAGAAAGTGTGGCAGCAGCATGACAGATGCAGGATCAGAATTAAACAGATGTTGTGTTTAAAACAAGAAAACTGCCTGGTCAAAAGCCTGGTCATAAAGGGACAAAACTTAAATTAGATTTATTAGAAGGCCTAGGATATATATTGTATAGTCTACAAGCTAGGCTCCAGTTTCTTTCTTAAAAAGTAACCACATAAATATTTATTAATTAATCAAATTCAATCATTATTACTTCTTAACTTCATTTTATATAAGGTTGGAGGATTTCAACTCAGAAACTGATGAAGTGGACGTGTTAACACCATACACTGTAGCCTATATAAAAAATACACTATTTTCTTTCATCTTAAGAGTTTAAATTTGCCGTTTTATGTCAATCCCTGCTCCCAGGAGAAAAAACGTGCTCAAATTTCGCTCCTTTTTCTCTGCTAATCAGCCCTCCAAAACTGTAAGCTTTTTAATCAAATGCAGGACTTTTACTTTAACTGAGTTTTATTATGTGATACCAATGAAAACTAATAGATAATTTATTTTAAAACAGATCTTCTTCTAAAACAGTTATGCACATGAAATGCTCCTTTATTATTTTACAGGATGTAAAAATGAAGGATTTTTATTTAAAAAATCACAAAATGATTAATGGTCTTGTATTAACACGAATTTATATTTAAAAATGAAAAGTACTAATCTCATTTATTTGCGACTTTAATAATCATGGATTAGCACGCACGCGACTCCGCCGGGAGAGACAAGAGGGAGGAGTTGGGTGGGTGGTACGTCTCGGGAGCGCGCGCTCCACCGTCGTGACGTCACAGCAGCGCCCGAGCAGTTGGGAAAGCCACTAGTGGTGGACCTGGCAAAGACGGAAAGGAGGGAAAGATAGACAGAAGAGATAGACAGGAGCCAGAGAGACGGATACGAGACGCGGAGACATCCCCGAAAGAGAGCATTTGACCTCGGCTGAGCGTCCGTTACGTCGCGAAACGTCATATCGTTGAGGTTTGACAGCAGCAGAATAACTGAAGAGGATACTGTGATTGGCCTTTCTTAACGGAACACATAGCTTATTTCACAACCGTGGGCAGCAACGTAAACACACCGCAGTGAGTAACGTTATGTGAACTTAGCAGGCAGTCTGGGTGTGCGCGTGTGTATATGCATGTTTTATTACACAGGCCTACGTTTGTGTGTGTGTGTGTTGGCCACTTCTCAGCCTGACGCGTGTGCCCTCTGTTTGTGTGACTCGTAATAAAAAAGGAACATCAGCGCTAATTAAATTGTGACGGCTGCTTTGAGGTGCAGCAGTTTCAGGTCAGCTGTGAGACCTAACAGTAGGGCTCTGTTACATTTCCGCCGGAGGGGAGCAGTAGACGTGTTATGGCCACAGATGATAGGCTACATTTCGTATTTTTGCCAGACGTGCCAGACGAGCCCATTCAACAAGGCTTCCCCGCGTTGTGTTCAATAAACCAATTGTAGCTGTGCAGCCGGAGGCTTTCCCCGGAATAACAGGCTAATAACACCATGTCTCGTCTCTGTACCTCTAAATGCGATTATCAATCTGTTAGCTGTCTTCCAGGCGTGCTGCTGACAGCCTGGTAGTTTCTCAAAGCCATATATTTGCTTCCATAATCCAAAAGTATTATTTTACAGCACCAGTTAAGTGACCTTATTGCACTTTATAGTGGGTTTATCTCCTGTAGCCCGGCGACCCTGTGCGCTTGACGATGAGTGAGTGAGTATCTCCTGTAGATATCACTAATATTCTTATGCCTTAAAATTCTCAATTTCTTCAGACCGTTTGCTTGTTTTCTGAACTCTTTCAAGGCACATATCTGTGTTCTTCTCTAAAATTGGGGGTTTAGTGCTGCTATGGTTGTACAGGACTGTCAACAGCCATGTCTCAGTCGAGACAAGATCAAGCAACACGTAAAATACTGGATAACAACATCTATGCAAACCAAATCACTGCGAGCAAACTATCTAGATCCGATATGACTTGTGTCGATTAAGGCGGGGAGGTGAAATCAGCTGCGTGTGTTTTGCAATGTTCCCTTGTATTTGCACCGCCCCTCCTCCGGGAAAACAGTCAGGGAACTGATCTGCTTCCTCCCACTGAGATTATTGTCAACACTGGACATTTTTAAATGTCCAGGCTCTGCACACCTTAGGGTAGTTTGAGCAAAAGTTGCCCTAGTACTTTTGGGTGTTTTTTTGTTGTTGTTGTAGTATTTGTTTTAATATTTCTTTTCAAAACTTAGCATATCCTGGCCCATAGTTATATCTTTCTGAACTTTTGGGGGGGTTTTTTTGCACTGGCTCCAGGCTCAACATCTATTGTAAAAACCTTAAGGGCTCAACATGACCAACATGCAGAACTTCTCCTGATAAACACATTAGCTCTTTCAAATCACTTCCCAAAACTGACTTTTATCATAAGACCATAATCTTTGATCCCTTGTTTTTTATTTATTTATTCGTTTATCACTTTGCCAGGGGTATGATTTATTTCTATCACCTCAGATAAATAGATAGACTTTCAGAGGGTTTTCGGGTCACCTTCTCAACTCCCTTCATCTTTATTTAAACTGGCAAGTCGACTGTACGAGCACATTCCCCTTTCCAGGACAAGCCTGGGGGAGTCACACTGTCACTTTCTCTTCCATTAACTACTACACACTCCTGAATTACTTTTGTGCTTCCCTGCCTTTGTGTTAATTGTGGAGTCTCAACGGTACATTTTCCATATTTGTTACGTAGGCGGCAGCCATGATTAGATAAGTGTGCGATGTGTGTTTGCATGTGCATGACACCGATGTACTTTTTTGTGCATCCGTGTGTTTATGTGCATGAATGCGGGTGAGTCATAGTGCGTGTGAATGTGCGTTTTGTTTGCCCAGCCTGCATCTCGGATTAATTTCCTGTGGTACACAATAGACTGGAGCTGATAGTATCTGTTCCTTATCAGTGTTGTGCTTTCCAGTGTCTAAACCATATTATATATCTTATCACTGATAGGACTGGTGAAGCAGAGTGAAGTTACAAGTAGCACAGTCCCTCGAGTGTGCCAAAATCTGTATCTTGCCCAGACATCTTCTGCCTAATATTTTCTCCCAAGTGTAATTGGGCTGTTCTGTTCATTGAAAAAGCTCCCATGCAGTTTTGGCAATTTCCAATTCCCATATCAATGTGCAGAATTAGTTGGTTTTTCTCCTTGCGGGAAATGTGTTGCACACAGCCTAAAAAAAATGGCAAATCTCTCATCTTAAAAAAATAAATAATAATTACATACAGGTTTGCATTAACCAAGAGTGCAAACAACACAATTAAAGCAGGAATTAATTTTGCTTGCAGTTACGTTTCATACGTTTTCATTGTCCAGCAGATTTTCTTTCCTGCTCCAATTTGGCTTTGTTTTTGTTTTCATGTCAGCCAGTTCCTTCTTAATATGTCCCTTTTTGTATGTAATTGCTACTTGAGATGTTAAGTAAAATAAACTTCTTTAAAGATTAAGATTACATAATACAGTACAATACAATATACAATTTAAAATCCTTGTGTCTCATTGGCTATTCTCAGTTCACACATGTAATGATAACTTGAGAGTTGCTCTTACACTTTGCTGTACGTTGGATTAAGTATCTTGATAAATGTGTTTTATTGCTCAGGCCAAGCATAACGTTTTTACTCCTAAATTGAAACATAAACATTTTTAAATGTAATTCTGAGAAGTTGCATTTACTATGAAGTATTAGTAATGCTAATTCACCTCACCTTTGCGCTCTTTAGAGAAACACCAATCAGATTTTCAGAGAATTAAAGTTATCATCATAATAAAGCAGCTGTGAGGGTTAAAAAATCCATCCCTTTAAATCTTCACACAGATTAGGTGCAGAATGAGTACGGCTCTCCCCTTCAGCCGGGCTGTCGAGTTGACTTTCAGTGAGATGTGTGACCCCAGACAGCACCAGTGAGTCCTTTCCAGCCACATCATATCACAACGAGCCTGACAGGAACAGCGAGTAATGGAGAATAATAATATTCAAGTTGAGTATAATGTGTTTTTATGAACGCTCATCCCAAGGCAGGAGGCGAACTTTTGTCAAATTTGGCTCCCACGCTGAAACACCAGCCGGCTAAGTATAGGCGCAGTGGGGCGCGTGTTTGTGTGTGTTGCCTTGTGCAGTGTGACAGATGGATGGGTGGTCATCGCATAAATAGAACATGCTGAACACTTTCAGGAATGCTGATAGAGAAAGAGAGAGGCGGTGAGAGGAAGTGAAAGCATCAGGGAGACAAGTGAGAGTCAGGGAGGGAGAAGAGGGATTAGAGGGAGGAGAAAGAGCGACGGGAATAAACAGGTGTAAGTATTTTAATCAAACGTCATCCTCTCTCGTATTGGTAACTAAAAGCATCCCCATCATGTCTGCTTGGCTCTTAAGCGCGATAGTGACATGTTAATTGTAAAGCTATTATAATCAAAAATTTTATAATGACAATGGATCACAGGACTACTTTTAAAAGTTTGCTCATTGTGATGAACCGAAAGGTACAGGTCAGTACTTGGCATTCAACCATGGATGCTTTCTTCGTAGCCTTGTGTGATATTCTAGGATTTTATGAGGCCCAAGACAACATTGTGTGTGTGTGAGAACGGAGGGTGTGGAGGAAAGATGAGACATGCAGAATGCATTTAGTAGCAGTTCAGGGAGGCAGAGGATGAAACACAGGGCGTTGTGTGTACTGGTGTTTCCTGTGTTTTGAACATAAAGGGCATGAAGTTATTGTGGGTCTCAGGTTCAGTCCTGGGCCTGTTTCAGGTGCAATCCTGATTTCACAACACTAACATTAGTCCAAATATTGATCTGCTTAGAGCTGAAAGGATTAGTCTGTTAGTCGATTGACATAAAATAAATCAATAACCAAAAAAAAGAGGCTTCTATGATATTAACTGAATATCGTTGGCTTTAGACTGTAGTCGGACAAAATAAGACATTTGTGGATGTCACCTTGGGCTCTAAATTTGCATTTGGGCTCTATAATCCGTAGATTAAACAATAAAATAAAATAAAAAGTAGATTAGTTAAACATTAGTTGCAGCACTAGATATGATCACAACTTCTGTAACATATTTTACCAGGGCATCGTATTCATTGCAAAGCATGAACTTTAACTCAAGGTCGACTTACTAGCTTTTTTCAGGGCTTTCAGCTCCATCTCCTGGTTTCCAAGGTCAAGAATGAACTCTTATGAACTCTCAGTGCAGCAGTGTTTAACAGATGTTTCTTACGCCAGCACCATATTGCTTTTTCACACGGGTGTGAAAGGGCAAGAGGGATGGTAAGCCTCTTGACAGATGGGTCTTGGACAGTCATATGCTAGCGTTTTCTCCACCTCATGATGCCAACTGCGTCATGGATGTGTTTGTTTGTGTGCTTGTTTCCAGTGCCATTGGTGCGTTTGTATTTGTTGTTTCATCTCTTCAAAGATCTTCCTTGAAATTTTGTTGAAAGCGCAGATTCATTGAACAGTTAGCCAGAGGGGTAGGTTCCTGTGACATTATAAGCTTGAGGTTAATATTATTTTCATCTGACTCTAAAACCACCACAAATCTGTGGGACGCACTGGTGTTTTTTTCATGTGACCCTTAGACTTGAACTGTGGAAAACACAACATGGTGTGTGTTTTTCCATGACGTCCTTGTGTCCGTAAAAATAAAAAGTAGTGTATTTGTGTGTAGCCTTGTGATAGATTGATGACCTGTTCTGGGTGCCCATCACCCATCATTGACTAGTGCCTGCTGGGATAGGCTCCAGCACTACAGCCCTAAACTAGGTGTACCACTTTCAGACTAAACAAATGACCCAGGAGATTTATGTTATTATTAAATTGTGATTGATGATTGTTGCTGCCCTACAATTGGACAATTGGCAGCATTCTGGTCACAGAGGAGAGCCTGTGGATCTTACCACTGGGTTGTCTTCTACAACCAAGCAGAAATGCCTTAACCCTCTAACTGCTCAATGCCTAACTAGCAGAGGCTTGTCATGGCTGAAAAAGTGTATGTTTAATAAATGCTTAAATAAAGGCTTAAAAAGAAGGTAGATGTGCTGAACATTTTTGCATTATAGGGAGAATTGGGTTGGGACATGGGCATATAAATTATCTACAGGTCAGCAGGACCAGAGGGGGTGGAGGAGGAGGAAAGCCCTGAACACACTTTCACACTCTCTCAATCTGTCTGTGCCAATTAAAATTGCGTGTTTGTAGATTGACCTATCTATTTTTCTGTATGTGTTTGGTTTGACTGATTGTGGAGATCTACTCATCTGCTCAGTTTTTGCATTTATTTGTGTAAGTGCATGTACTGAATGTAAGTGTGTGTGTGTGTGTGTGTGTGTGTGTGTGTGCATGTGTGTGGGTGTGTGTCTGTGCTGGAAGCGGGGCCCTGGCCTGTTTCTGTCCAGGTGTGTGTTTTTGGCCTGAGGGGAGACAGAGCAGATGGTCCCCTGTTTGGGTTTGAGTGTGTGTGGCTGTAACCGACTGGTTGTCAGTAACGACTCCCTGGCATAAGGTCTGTTCCTAGCAGAACATCAGCGGGAAAGATGCTGTTACAGGCCTGGGTCGGGATCCAAAGTAGTGGTCGGCTGAAGGGCTTTACAGTTAATCACACTTACTGAAATGTTAACTTCTGTAGTTAGCAATTTGTAAGAGGCCGCATGTTGAGGGAAAGATTTTTAAGACAAACTACAAGAAATGTGTAGAATCTCTACCAAACTGTAAAAGCAAAATCACTTTATATTGAAACTAAGCTAATTATATCGCCACTGTCCAACGTTTATGTGTATGTTCAACTTTTATTGATAATGTAGTGACAATATCTGAATACTTAGTGTCATATTGTGCAATATTGGAAATTGGCATATATTTCACTTTTTGTGAACTGAAGCTCCAGAGTAAATTTAACAGCTTACAATCCTTCATTGCTAACATTACAGTTTTAAGGTCAGAGCCACAGTTTGTACTGTAAGTACTAGAGGGTAAATACTTCTGCACTCTAAGATTTATCATGTGTTATAGAGAAGAAAAAAGTCCAATTTCTGAAGTGGTTTAGTTCTCTTTAGCTCATGCTAGTGAGATGAGAGTGTGGCCATGTGTGTGTCCAGGGGGTCATGTGTCCACTGACCTCGGGATGGCTGAATGATACTGCTGACCAGCTGGACACTGAGTCTAAATATCTGTAAATGTACTGTCTTTATCCAATACAGTAACTCAGTTCTTCTCAAAGTGGGTTCCGGGGACCCCAGGGGTCCTTGAGTAACACACACACGATGACAGAATGTATGACTGTTTTGGTCATGGGTTTAATACACTTTCTGTAATAAAACCAAAAAACCAAAAAATCCTATCAGAAGGCCGACCCTGGGACAAAATCTTATCAAATAGGGTCCCATTGGTGTCAGTTTAAGGGTCCTTGATGTGAAAAAGTTAAAGAACCACTGCAGTAAGTGACTCTAGAGATAACACCTAAAACCAGCTAAAGTTTGTCAGAGTCTGAACAAAGTGAAACTAAGTGGATAGCACATGGTGGGTAGTTCAGGGAGGCTGGGATAGTGCAGTGCAGCCACGGAGGCATTTTTAGCAACATCTGTGAGACGTTGCTCATAAGTTATGTTAATTTCTTGCAAAAGACAGTTGAATGTTACTGATTACACCTTTTAAATTGAGTTCACAGAAGACTCTGATAGGAATTACATTGTACATTATTTTCACAGCTGTGTTAAGTTCAGGGTTTCTTTGACCTGACTGACTTAATCAGACAGTTTGAATATTTATTTCATCCACCACACAAACACACACAGACACTTACCAGGCTGTAAAAGTATGACAAAACACTATTTCATGGCTCTGTGGCAGTTTACATTCTTGGGAACTGCTATCATTAATAATGTAGCCCATATTCACTGTGACTCATGACTCATATTATTAACAGGACCCATGAGCAATAATTTATTTTTCTTTTAGATGTATTTTTTCATCCCACCTTATTGTTGCAGAGTGAAATGGATTAATATCTAGATTTAATTGACTGAATTAAAAAAAACATGCATTATTCAATTTTAGTATAATCTAACTCAACCAGCAGCGAATTATTAGCTTGTATGAAGATTAAATCAGCTGATTGAATGTTATCTGCCATCACCCTGTTAACTAAGGCTGCAGGACAGTAAGTTTGATGTGATGACCAGAGAAGTTAGGACATAGTGGAATCTTGAGAAGAAGGTGTAACGGGTGGCGGAGAGATGACCCGGCCTGTGTGATCATACGATCCGACACATCAGGTGATGCTTTTGCCTTTGGCACAAATTGTGGATTATGTGAAAGCTTTTTTTGACTGTAGTCTGTGAACTGAGCATATCAGCCTTACATATCTCTCCCTCTTGCTGTGTATGTGTGTCCGTGTCAGTGTGGTGGCAGAAATAAAAAGAGTCGTGGGCATCTTTAATGAGTGATTTTTGGCAAAGAGGGCAGATGATTTAATAGATTGCTTCACATGATTTTCTGTTGAGCACCTAGTGGATTGTTTGGCTATTTTTTGGCCTTACAGAAGTGCACAAGTAAATACTGAACACAACAAGAATAAACCAGTGTATTGCTTAAAAGTATGTTAATCAAAACCATAACCTGTTAAGAATCCAGTGTATTTCTTTGTACCTTAAATGCAGTATATCTTTATTCCTCTGATCACTAAGGTTTTGTCTCTTTCTCAATATCTTTTAGGTGATCTCATCATCCTGGGCCTTGCGGATTCCTTTATCTAAAGGAAACCCGTATTGATTACTGCTTTCTAACAAAGCCCACTTATTACAGTGAGGTGTTGGAAAGGCCTTGATCACAGCTATGTCAACACTGCAGCAAGATATTTCAAGTCAAGAAGGACTACAGTAGAAGACTGACCGGGAGTTAATCAGCTGTTACATTTAGTACTTCAGATTTGACTATGTATTTTTGATTCACTTGCTTTATAAATTTGATCCAGACACTCTTTCGTCTCTACAGTATATACCATATTCTCTTATCATGTACGGTAGCTCCCGTTCCGTCTCAAAGCTGGATGTTGTTGGATCTAATGGGAACGGGTCAGTGTCTGGGAGTCCTGGGCGCTCCCCACGCCTCCCTCGCTCCCCACGCCTTGGACACCGGCGAAACAGCAGCAGCAGCTCCACTGGCGGACTTACTGGATCCGGTAAAACCCTGTCCATGGAGAACATTCAGTCTCTAAATGCTGCCTATGCTACAGGCGGTCCTATGTACTTCACTGACACAGTTGACGACCCGGTCGGCATTGGGAGCCTGGGCAGTGGGCTGAACCCCTCGCTTCCCAAAAGCACCATGACCCTGGGCAGGGCTGGGGCCAGGGTGCCCTACGGAATCAGGGCGGCCATCATGGGGAGCAGTCCTAATATAAACACTGGAGGAGGAGGGGGAGGTGGTGGTGCGGTTATACCCAGTGATGCGATTGCGTTTGGTGGGGAGATGCAAAACCAGCTTTCACAGGCGGCTACTGTGCCCCACTCCATGAGACAGGTGAGGCATCGCAGTTCTTTCTTCTTTTATTGCTGCAACCTTGAAGTCAGCATTTTGTGCATGCTGAAGTTTGCACCAACAAAATTTGAGATTTTCATTGTCATTTTCTTCCTCTGTATTCCATTTGTGCTCAGGGTCTATTTACTTTTTCTCTTCAAATCTGTATGCCCTAAACATTTGACATGTAGTTGAAAGTATGATGGAGTTTTAAGAACCTAATGCCACAAGAGCAGACATTTTAAAAGCTGCTGTGTTGTGTGACCATTAAGACACAGCATGGTTTTCTGGAAGTTACCCAGTCTCTCTGTAAAACCATCTCCTCATTCCACTTCACATCGTACACATATGTCTTCTCATTTACTAACTCATGGTAAGAAAACAAAGTGTGTTTTCCAAAAAGTTGTGTAAAAGTATTCCATCAAAAGATGAGTTCAATTTGTTTTCTGGCCTAAAAAATAAATCCTGTAACAGCAGACAAAACAGTTGAGCTCAAATAAACTTCAAATAAATAGGAAATATGTGGATGAAATTGATTTAGGTTGTCAATAATCTTTGTCTCAGCTTTGAGCGAGGAGTGAGGAGTCTGACATAAACATAAAAAGATAAAATCAATTGCACTTAGCAAACACAATGTTTTGTCCCACATGAATTGTCCAATGCTGGAGGGGCTGTGAGATAGATGTTCAGATAACTGTAAAGCTTAATATTTTCTTCTTAAGTCATGCTTCAGCTTAATAAAATAAGAGTTGTGTGGGTATTCATGCAGTATGTTTAAATAGACTAAGTTCTGCCCTCCCACTTCATCTGCACCATTAGTCATAAACTGAAAGCTCATCTCTCCAAGATGTATCTCTCCTTCCTCACCCCTACCTCCCTCCTCCACTTGTTTCTAATTATTTCTTAAACAAGAAGTCCTCTCCATAACCCTCTAAAGCTTTCCTCTATTGCAGGGGTTTCAAAGTCTGGGATTGTGGGCCTCCCTTCAGACAAAGCTTGGAAAAATGTGCCCTTAGTTTACTTAGTTTTGCTCAATTCCTGGATACCTTTGGGATCACGATTATGTTATTTGATCCCATAGACACTCAGCAGTTGAGCCAAGGTAGCCTAATATTGCTGTTTGACATAACTTCTGACGAAAAAGGTCTGTCCTAAGGCATTTATTAATATCTGACTCTGGGAAAGTGGGAAAAATTCCCCCTAAACTACTGTATAGCTGAACTATATCTGTAACCAGAACACACACATTTAGGCACTTCTATGTGATCTCCTTTTGATAATTAATGTTAATATTTTTTTCACTTCTATTCTCTGAGCCTCCCCTTAATCTGCTTGTTGCCTCCATCTCTGAAATTCTCTGCTCTATTGTATGTCACTTTATATGGATTGTATGTCATGTCTGTTGTGCGGATGCTAAGACTCCAAAGCTTGACTCTCTTATTTGTAATTAAAAAGTGTGATTTAAACATTTTGAACCTATTCTACCTTTTTGCTTGCAGAACTGTAAGACACTTTGTGCGTCAGCTAAATTCCTAAAACCAGTTTTTCAAACCAAAGCATCTCTGTTTGTTGTTTAAAAATTAATTGAACATCTTTTAATTTTTTAATACACTGCTGTCCTTGTGTCAAGATTAATTTAACATTTTTATGGGTAGCATGTTCTCATTAATATTGCAGTCAGGTGTGCACTATATGAAGAAATTTTGTATACAAATAACCCAACTTATCTTGAAACAATGGTTTGTTGTAAAATATTGTCTTGATATACTGTAAATCATAAATATTTGCATGCATATTTGTAGTCTTGACAAGTTTTAATCACAGTAACAGTCTCTAAGTGCTTCATCTACAGTATTCAAGTCTGTCTTTGTATGTGTATATTTTTGAGCACCAGCAGTGGCTTTCAGGAGTAGTTTACAGAATGTTTATAACATCAGGCATGAGCAAAAATGATGGTATTGCTGGTGTCAAACATTTTGCACTAATACTGTATGTGTGTTACCAGGTGAGAGACGGTGCAATGTCAGACCTACAGACACAGTTAAGAGAAGTGCTGAGAGAGAACGAACTACTCCGCAGAGAAGTAAGGACACTTGCATATACACATACATACTCCTATCTGAAGGTATAGGCCTTTATTTTACAGTCTATTGTTCTTAATTTAGTTATATGGACAAACTAAAAGCCAGTAAATTGAATATGTAATACATGGAGGCAAGTCATCAATGATGAAGAATTCCTAAGGCCCCAATCAATACAAATATACAAATATACATTTATTAAAACAAAGTCACAACATTTGATGATGATTTCTTTTAGCTGGAGGCTAAAGAATCGAAGTTGAGCTCCTCTATGAACTCCATTAAGACGTTTTGGAGCCCAGAGCTGAAGAAAGAGAGGGCGCTGAGGAAGGATGAAGCCACAAAGATGGCCGTGTGGAAGGAACAGTACAGAGTGGTACAGGAGGAAACACAGGTAGGATAAAAAGCATCTGTGTGTGAACAACTATGTGTGTGTTTCTGTGGGACAAATTCTTTGACAGTGATTTACTGTTTGCGTCTCCGGGCTGGCTTTGCTTGAAACCTAGTAACAAATGAACAAAGATGAAAACGTCAACAACAATCTCCTGACCTTGGTTGAGTTACTTTCATTATGATCGCAGCTAATCCAGGACCTCGAAAGTCAAGAAATCAAAGTTAGAAATGACCTTTAGCCCAACCCTTTTAATTTTTGCTTTGCATAAGGTTTTTCCTTTACTACCTGTGATAGAGTTGATCTAGTCAGTTTTATGTAAAAATATGTGGACTGGCACAAAGGGGAGCATACCCTGATCATTTTGTGGACTGTTCTGGTGGATTTGTCTCGCTGATGTAAGGCGGTAAGACCGGTAAACAGATGAAGCGGGCTTGCTGGTTGGGGACTCCCAGCTGTCTGTTGGTTCAGAAGCCATCTGGATGAGACAGAGACACAGCTAGTCTGGCAGAAGGCCGCACTATTATACAAGAGATGACATGCACGCTTACCCACTTGCAGTCGCACGCTGCCTCACAGTGACTCATTTCACACGCTGTCATCTTGAAACCAGTGCAGAAAGTGCTCAGTCCTCACTACATTTATTCGTAATTTAAAAAAGGAATACATTACATTTCAGTCATTAACCGGTGCTCTTATCTCCGCGTATGTCTGTGTTTGAATTTTTTGGGGGCTTTGATGTTGGTCCAAAGGCTCCCAAGACAAATTGAAATGAAGTAATATGTGGGAAAGGATTTCAGGTTGTGAAATTACATCACTAGAATATTAAATCACTCCCACAAAATTTACAGCCAGTTTGGCGGGTGTGTGAACAGTGTGCGCATGCCTGCGTCTACGCGTCCATAAATCTGAGTGTAAATGTGTGCCATGTGTGCAAAGTGATGCCGTGTGTGAGAGAACAAAAGAACAGATGATAAGTTGATCACTCTATCATGTATTTCCCACCACCACTTTAAAAATCCTCAGTTGCCTTCACACTTATACACACACTCCCCTTTGGGGATGTGTGTGTGCAGTTGTACACATGTTGAGACATGTAAGACTAGTTTGTAATCTCTAATGCTGGGAAACAATATACTCTTAATATCTTTCACTTCCATGCCCTTTCTTTCCTCCGGACAAATCACACCCTTTTAACCAAAGGCATGCTTTTCATTTCACGCTCTCATTATCTCGTCACTTTCCTTCTTTTTACTCTCCCTTTTTCTGTTCTTCTCTGGCTTTTCTCCATCCCCTCGCGCCTTTCCCCCCTCTCTTCTTACTAATTCTCCTTCTCTTCTGCTATTTCTGTCATCACATGGTGAGTCAGCTCTCGCTTTCTTCCCTCCCTCCTACTGTCCTTCCTCTCTCTCTCTCTCTTTGCCATCATCTTCGTGTTAGAAATTGAATTAAGTTACCTCCCAGTCATTTTAGGATATGCGCTTACACACACGCACACACACGTACGCTGTGTCACGCCCCTGCTGAGGAATGCACATCTCATCTCCACCCTCCTTCTTTCCTCCACACTTCCTCACTTATTCACCTCCTCCTTCATGCTCGGCCCACTGTGTTCACCTCGCTTCCGCCCGCCTCTGTCTTTATCTTTTCTTGTCCCTCTGTCTGCACTCCCTCTGCATGAATCCTTTTCTTCTCATATACTTACAAGTGTCAGATTCAAAACCAGAATAACAGACATTCCTAATCTCGTGTTTGTACTTGTTGGGCTCCGGTCCTTGTTAGCAAGATCCAATAAATGACGGTATAATAATCTACAATATTGTCATACTATATGTAACAACTGATCAATTAATGTGAATGATTTCATGACATTAGAAAAGATTAATTTTCTTAATTACTATTTGGTTTGATACTTTTCTACTGTGGATATTTCTTACTTTTCTTTGAAAAGTGTTGTTAAAAACTATTGTTAAAGGTACAGCAGAACAGGCCAGAAACACAACACTGATATCCCATCACCTTATAAATTTGATATTGGTGATTATGTAGCAAACAGTTGCCTATTTCCACATTCAGCAGACATGGAGCAAGATTAGCATTAACCATTGTGTGTCTTGCCAACTGATAAGTCCAAAATTCACTCTCCTCTTAGTACTATTTTGGTTTCCACCAACTTCTAGAGAAACTTCAGGCTTCTTAGCTGATACATGTGTTTATTATGTTCACCAGCTGGTTGCTAACTTTGTCTTTCTGCCAGGCAGGTAGTGTACAGTTGATTTATCAGATCTTTTTTGGTGAAACCAACTGCCTGCTGTGGCTGAAAAAAACACAATGAGAGCGGTAAGAGTGAACCAAAACATTAAAGATGTGGACAGGAAAACCACAACATTGAGCTGAAAGATGCTGAAAGGCCCCATAGAGCTGGTGATCTTTCTGGGTTTTTCACTATGAGCAACACCTTTCACATACAGAAATTGGATCAATTTTTGTATGAAAATCGGTTTAAGGTTGAGCCCAATTGCCTCTGTACTTGTGCTTTCTCTTGTGTCGCCTCCCACAGCCAGTAATTTTCTCTTACCACACCTTCCACTCACTGTCACCACACACTCCATCTCTTTTTGCCTGTCTCACCATTTCACTCCCACTTTCGGACTCCCGCTCTTTCACAGCCCCCTGTCCTTCTCTTCCCTCTCCTTCACTCTCCATCTGGGCCTGTGGAGCTGTTTTAACACAGAACTGAATTCAATAGAACAGACACACCCTGTTCTAATAAATCTATTGACCTGAAAACAGATGCCTGCTGTAATACTGTCAGTGTTGTCTGTCTCCTTTGTCACTTTTAGTGCACTGCCTTCCTTTGGTTTCTGTTGTGTGTTTGATTTCGTCCAGTTTGTTCCACCTCTTTGATCACAGCAGGTAAGCACGATGTTTCACGCAGAAAGAAAGAGAAGCACAGATGAAAAAAATAAAGGAATGTCTGGAATGAAAAAGCTTTACTTACAAGCACACCTTTTGTCTCTTTCCATCTCTTTCCTCTTCTGCCCTCTACGCTTCTGACAATGGTCCATTTGCAAGCAGAAGCAGCAGCAAACATTCATGATTGTAACCATGACATCCAGGGTTTAACTCAGCATCACTGTTTCCATTCTGCTACTAATTACTCTGAAAATAATTCCATTTAACTAAGGAGTCTTAATGCTAAAATGACACATTACTAATGTTGTTATGTTATAGCTAAAATCTAAACAAGATGATCACAATAAGGTGTATTGATATTTGTGTTTTTCTAAATGAATTTAAGAACTGCTACGTTTTTGAACAGTGTGTACTTCTTGTTCTCTGTTCTACATTGTTTATCCCAGCTCTGAATCATACCAACTGAACAATATCCACTCTGTCCATTTCTGGGCCTGCTAGATTCAATCTATCATCTACTGTACTCCAGGCGAGCCATGTGACGTCAGAAACAGCATGTGTGTGAGTTTTGGAGTTTGTGAGAGACAGAGGGAGACCGTTTAAATGTTTGAAAAAGGGGGTTGTATGGAGACTAGGCTTTGTCTGCAGTCTCATACATGTTTCAGGTGTGTTGAGACTGTAGTGTGTGTTTGTGTATGTGTTTGTTTTGTGATAGAGAGAGAAGAGTACCAGGAGGGAGTCTGTGTCCTTGCGCATTTGTTGGCAGGCTTATGTGTGTGTCAGGACAATTGGGCTTTTTGTACAGACAAGTGTGTGTCTGTGGAGGCGCTAGTGGCACAGTATACACAATTACAATTATAAACATGCAGGCATGTTTATAATTGTGTATTTGGATGGTTGTGTATTTTTGCAGAGACAGTGCATGAGTGTTTCTGTGCATGTATTGTATAGGACTACTCTGTACTGCGTCTGCCATTTTTATCAAGTGTGTATGTTGTTGTTTTCATTCTCTGTGTTTTATGGAAATAGAAGGTACGTGGCAGTGGGATGATTTCAGAAGTTGTGTTTGTGTGTGTGGAAAAGTAGAGGTGTTGTGTTTTCATTCTGTTCAATGTGTGTGTGTGTGTGTGTGTGTGTGTGTGTGTGTGTGTGTGTGTGTGTTCGTTTGTGTCCGCTAGAAAGGAAGAAAAGATTAATCCTCTATGATAATAACATGAATCTCAATGAGGCTGTTTTCAACTTGTTAGCAGGTTTTATAGACTGACACTGGTTCAGTAAGATCATGTGATCGTATTGGTATAGGACTATCTGTTCATAGATTTTCACCAAATGCCATTATTGTCCAAATATTTTGGTCTATCTTCAGCCCAGAAGTTCAGTTTTGTATTTGGTTGAGTTAAAGTGGCAAACCTACTAACTACCGAGGCCAGTGGGCAAAAGGTTCACCAGCTCTTTCTTTGTGTGTGTGTGTGAGGAGGTTAATCCAAATTGGCAGGTGAGCACAGTGCCCCTTACACCTGTGCGGCACTTTGCCTTCAGGTCGAGGGCAGGATAGCAGAGACAGAGACATGAGAGGAAAGGGGAGATTTTCTTTTCTCTCTACTCCTTCCTTATTCTTTTTCCTGCCCTTTTCTCATTTGCTCAGTGCAACAAAGTTAGAGCAACAGAGAGAAGGAAACACAGACGGGCACTTGAGTGTCTTTTCCACTCTATGAACATGGCAGTAAATCAGGCCTTCAGGTTAATGTGTAAATCCAATGTGTCACCTGAACTCCGATATTTTTGTTGGAAATGCTTAACCCATCTTCAACAAGTTAAATAACCACAACCAAAAACATTTTAGAAGAGCACACTAAATAAAGACTTAACTACAGTTCTGTATTAAAGACAAAAGGTAGTACTAAAACACATAATAGATATTTTACTGTTTGTGTGCTGACTGAGTAATTATAATTGCTGCTCAGTGCACTTAATGTTATTACACCTGAATTTGAACTGAGCATCTTGCATTTTTAATTTCATTACTCCAAGCTGTCATTGAGCTTGTCCTCATGGGTTCAGATTAGTTTGAATCCAATAGAAATGGA